TTGAAAACCATATCTTTTGCATCATTCCTTTTAATATAATTATGAAGAGCAACTGTTGTTATTATGACATCTATCTGTGTTGTCTCGCTAAACCGTGGCATTCTGTTTAGTATTTCCCACCTCTTATTCAAAACTCCAAATGACCGTTCAATAGTACTCCGAATAAATKAATGTACACGGTTGAAAGCTTCTTCAGCATTAGTCAGAAGTACATGTTCCAACATCTTAAACTTTAGGTTATTGATTTAAGCTTAATTCCTTACCTAAACAAYGTTGTTTCRTTAAATTAAAAAACAAGAATGTAAAACTCGGGTCRTAAGAGGTTGGAAATCGGTTTTTGCTATAACTAGAACCGAGTACTAAACTTTTGGTTATAAATTTTGTTTGATAAAGTATGGTTTCTGCTCGGGTAATCGTGTTTCTGGCTTTGTACTGATTTTCGCATGTTCCTGATTTATACGTCTTCTTATTCTCTATCATTTAAATTCGAAACAAGAAYGCAGTAATAATAAGAGCAATAACATTACAGTAACTTGTATATCATATAATAACAGTGATAATTATGTGCTACAGATTTAGTAATTCTGAGAAAAATGATCAATCATTCTTATTTATCTTTTTTTTTTTGTCACATGAAATAAAAAAAATTTGGTCGGTTACAAGATACGTAGTTACGTTACTTCCATTTTCTATCATAAGTCATGACACATTATTTCCTTTCAGGGTTCGTTATATATTGTGTGAATAATGATTCCCACTTTGCGACTTATTAACTCATCATCTAAAGTATGTCGGGTTTGATTCTGACAAATGTCACCATGATGCAGTCCAGGGTTGTACCCTATGCAATGATTGTTGTTTTATTCGATGGGAATTATGAAATACGACAATAAAATTGTAAAAGCTGTATTGTATAGTATTGATGCAATTACGACATGTAACTAGAGGGAACAATTGAAAAGGGTATGGTTGATGTCCCCTCCATGGGATCCACATGAAGTGGTCATATGGCATTTTATCTGGAGGCAAAATCTTATAAAACGGTAGCTTATTGTTCTTTTAGGTAGCATTTGGTATGCATAAATGGTTGGACATGTCTAGACAGAACGAGAGTAAGACATGACATGACTAGACGGGACAAGACTGGACAAAACAAATGTCTGTCTGGTGTTTGATACAACTATGATTGGACATAACAGAACTAGACAAGTGGCCCCCCAAGGGTTATTTGATGATTTTATGTATCATATAATAGTTACAATTAACACAGATAAAGTAAATAATTTAATTTATAAACATTTTTACACAATTTTTATATACATAAATATAAAATAGTACCAAATTCGAATGAAATTTTTGATATAATTGATGATAGTTTAAAAAAAACCCGATTCATACGAAAGGGAAATTATGTTTTATTCGGTTGGAAGATTATTATCAATTGGTGAAGGCAYGATGAAGATTGTTGCAACAACAATGGTTGTGGAGGTGGAAGTATTGGAGATTGGTGGACAATGGTGTGGTTGTAGAGGTGGTGGAGGAGTTGTTGTAGTAGAAGAGAAGGTGCAGATGGCCAAAGGTGGTAATAGTAATGGACGGTGGTGGTCGATTGCCGATGGCGGTCGACGGTAGTTATGGAAATGGCAGAGGAGATTGTTGTAGTGGAGGTGGTGGTGGCCAATGGTGGCCACCGGTGTTGGCGGAGGTCACAATGCGGTGGTAACAACTAAAACAAATACCATATTAAGGTTATATATCAAACAAGGGTTAATTAGTAATATTTTAGTTTCTATTTCATTCTTGTCTCATAAGTCTGTTTTGTCCCACTTTTTCCTTGTCTCATGTCGTACCAAACGTGGGACGGTGAGTTCTTGTCTTCTCCCATGYGGCACTAAACATGGGATAGTGAGCTTTGTTCGTCCTATCATGTTCTGTCACATTTACCCGGTAAGAGCTGACTGTGGTAAGAGTCATTGTCCTCACTTACCGGGTAAGACTCCCGGTCTTTGCCTCGTTCTTATCGGGTAAGATTTTTGGTCCTTATCGTATTCATCCGTAAGATAATATAACTTGGTAAGCGCTTACCCAAGTAAGCATTGGGTAAACGGCCCCTTAGTTACTAAAAAATTACGAACCACAATCAAAACCAGTGATTTCTGATTGGATATATAAGACATTTTAATAAATAAATTCTTTTAAAAAATGTGAATCATCATTAATTTTCGAGTAACTCACGTTTTTGGTTCCTGTAGTTTGTCCAGAGACTAATTTGTTCTTCATAACGGTTCCTAACTAACGATGTTAACTTCAGAGACCAATAAAATTAAAAAATTAAAAACCATCAATATAGATAATTTGTTTTAAAGAACAAATCCAAATTTTAAACAAACCCCACAACGACCGCCAAGTGTAATTCACTCATATTTTCTATGATTATTATTATACATAGCAAAAAAAAAAAGAGTCATGTCTAACAAATTGTTGCATATGATACCATTTTGATGGATCAAAATCTTACCCGACAAGTAAATGATAGTGTTGAATTTTGCCGTAAACACTTATCCGGGTGAAGGTTTGGTAAACGGCTCATAATTTCCAATGATTTTTACTTTATCAACATGTAACAAAATTTTGTATAGTTTTTTGATTAACCTGGATATCCAACCCGCTATGCGAGCCGACTAATCCTAGGACGACCACCTGCTTTGCAGATAGTCCGGAGTCACCGCATTTAGAACCTCCGTGGCCACAAGGAGATTTCTATTCCTCTTTTGATTTGAACTTGAGACCTCCTGGTACTTTTGACATTTGGAGCCAAACTCAAACCAATCAGGCACCACTGTTGTCGTTAAATTTTATATAATTTGTATTTAGTATAATGAATTTTACTTATTTTTAACCGATACAATGTATCTTGTTATATTTAATAACATGTTGTTTTAACATGTATCTTAATTTAGGGGTGAGCACAGGCGGGTACCCGTCYTTTTTGATGGGAACCGGAACCGGCGGTTCTTGAGACATTGAAACCGGAACCGGAACCGGTTAGAGCGGTTCTTAAATTTTTGGAACCGGAACCGCCGGGAACCGGTTCCGGTTCCGGGTACCCGCTTCCTAAAATATTAAAATTTTGTTATTTAGAAATAAAAAAATAAAACATTGCAAAAACACTAAATAAATAAGCAAGAATACAAATTATACAAAATAATGGTTACAAATATTGTTTAACGATTACAAATCATAATAGACTGATAGAAAATGTTCAAAGTTTAAAGATTACATACTATAATAGTAAATGTTCAAAGTTTAACGATTACATACTATGAATCCAAAGAATACACAATTTGAAGAAATACGAATCATTCTATATGAATAATTTAGATGAAGAATGAAGATGACGCGTGCTTTCAAGATGTAAACCTAATATAATTTGGTATTAGAAAATAATAATTATTATTTTTATTGAAAAATACCGGGTACCCGGCAGGTAACGGTTCCGAAAAATTGAGAACCGGAACCGGAACCATTCTCAATCGGTTCCGTATTTTAGGAACCGGAACCAGAACCACTCATATCGGTTCCGGTTCCGGAACCGGCGGTTCCAAGGCGGTTCCGGCTCCATAGCCGAGTGCCCGGTTCCGCTGCTCACCCCTATCTTAATTTACCCGTATGACTTTCATATTTCAAGCAATACATATTCGGCACTTGTAATTTTATTTTCAAGTGTATAATGAACCCCTAGTTTATTATACAGCGAATATAGGTATTTTTTTTATTAATCTGGATATCCAATTCGTTATGTGAACCGATTAATCATAGAGCGACCACCTATTTTGTAGATAGCTCGAAGTTACCATATTTGAATCTCTATGGCCAGAGGATTTTTATTCCTTTTTTAATTTGAACATGAGACTTTCTGATACTTTTGATTTTTGAAGTTAAGTTCAAACCAATCAAGTTAAGTCAAACACGTTGTTTGAATATAGCCACTTCTGCGTGAGGGTGTAGCAATCAAATCACACAAGGACAAAAAAAGCAGCAGCAGAAGCCATGCTGCTATGATACGCTCTTTCTCCCTACTGTCTGTCATACCTTCCTCCTCCTTTGCTGAATGCTACTGCGTTTTCTAGGTCACAAAATCAGGTGATATTTCTTCTTCCTTCTTCCTTCAAGTGTTTTCCTAATCACATCGTCGTGCTTTCCGGTGAGTTCCTATTTTTCTAGTTGACATGGCTTTTGGAAGGTATTCTAATGTTTTCAGATGTGTTTCCTTTCTAGTTTCTTCTTCTTTTGCTTACGATTTTGATCTGAATTTTGGATTAATCTCCCATGTTTTCATAGCTGTAACCAACTCTAATTTTATATGTTCCCCCCTCAGATCTGAGTTCCTTCTCCTTGTTCTACCCCAAATCATTTGTTGTTGAATTTGCATTATGTATCCCCTTTCTGATTTATGTGTTCTAGGGCTTTATTTGTGTTAAATTCAGCATGCTTACTGAAACCTAGACATTACATTTCATATTGGAATCCATTTGTAGGTTTTCAGAAGGGTGGTCTGTTTTCAGCTGATTAGCAATGGTGGGCAGTTCATGTGACAATTGGTCCATGGGAGAACCCCCTAAACTGTCGAGAGATAACTTCATTATTTGGAAGAACAGGATGATAGCCTTTCTAGACTGTGTTGATAGTAATCTATTAACCACGATCAGAGAAGGACCTCATGCTCCTGCCATTCCAGCAACATGTCTTGACAATGAGAAAGTTGCCTTGGAGCATAAGGCAAAGCACATTATCGTCATGTCCATCCCTGATGACATATATTGCTTCGTAATCAGCTGTGAAACAGCTAAAGAAATATGGGATTCTCTGGTTGTCTTATTTGAAGGGACTGATGAAGTTAGAGAACAAAAAGGGTATCTTTTAGCTCGACAGCATGAGGTGTTTACTTCCAAGCCTGGTGAATCCATTACTGAGACGTATTGTAGATATAGTTGTCTACTAAACGATCTCGAACAGCACAGCATAGTATTTGAGGATGAATATGTGGTGGAAACTTTCTTGAACAGTCTGCCCCGTCAATGGAGTCTTATCTCCATGGTTATCAGAGAATCGAAAAACTTCAAAACCATGTCTCTTCAGACTCTTTATGGGAAGCTGTGGAGCCATGAGATCCGGAACGAGATGACCAAATTGAGTGTGATCCAGCCATGTCATGGCTCTGAATGCAGGAAGAAGCAAACAGAGAACAAAGTTGTGGTGAAAGATGAAGGGTACTTAAAACTGAAGGCCAAATACTTGAAACTGAAGGCCAAAAGAGATGCAGAAAACAAAAGGTCAACTGAGGTATTTAACTTCTATTTATCTGACGTGAAATTCAACACTGTCACTTACTTATCTGGTAAGATTTTGGTCCACCAAAATGGTATCATATGCAACAATTTACTCGGTAAACGCTAACCATGGTAAGAATCGCGGACCTTAGTTACCGGGTAAAACTCTCGGTCACTGCTTTTGCTCTTACCGGGTAAGATTCTTGATCATTAACATAGGCATCTGATAAGGTAATGTTACTTGACAAGCACTTACCTGGATAAGTATTTGTTAAACAACCCCTAACTTGTATGTTTTGTTGGGCATATGTATCCAACTTGACCTATTCTGTTGAGCCATTTGATCCATATTTGTTTGGATGATATGAGTAATATATATATATTATAATCTGGACTAACATACTTCTTTCTACACATTATATTGCAGGTGGGCAAGACTTAGTTCAACATATCTCTAGGTGCAGGTCAACCATGATGAGAATTACTGTAAGTTTCTCATAATTATCTCTACATTTTGGGTTACTTTTAGTCATATAAAAACATGTATGATTTCCCTTTTGAGAACGATTGCGCGCCCCGTTACCAAATGAACCATTCAACGCGTGTGTTTTTGTTACTTTAAAGTCACTCGTAAAAGGGACCGAAACCGGTTACAGAAGGGCTGGTTGGGACTTGTTTGTCCCTACTATTTATCAGCATTCTAAAACGTTCGTCGTTAAGTCTGTGACACGCTGTGACTTATGCATATATATGCTTTTTGTAAGGGATTATTTGATTTCCTTTTTTACCTTTTCAAGGTATTAGTTTTTAGTATATAACCTAATTTAAATCATTACGTATCATTGAAAAATCGAGTAATAATAGAAAACATACGTGTGCTAATAGAGATTGCCAAAACCTGGTCCCTGGCCGGTCCTTGAAGTTTCATAAAACCGGACTTTCAGGCCACAACTGGTCCCTACTGGTTCCAGGCTAGGCCCAATTTACCCATCTCTACATGTGCGTGTATATATAATTACACACACGAGATATACAACTTTGTTGACGTAAGTCACGCTTTGAAAAACGATATGACCTTGAAACGGCTCCTAAGTCTTGAGATTTAATCTTGCTGCCACGTAACACCTCACATCATTTAGAAACTTGCTATTTATACGTTTTGACATTTGATTGGCTATGAGGTTCGGTTGTTATTTTATCATTGATACATGCGGCCTTTGATTGGTTAACGGCAGTTTTGTTGTCTTTTTCCTTTTTTATTTACAATTTTGCCATTGGATTAACCGCAATTTGCCATTTACCCCTTGGCTTCCATTTTCGTAAATTTGGTATATATATATCAATCTATCGTAAATTTGGTATTGAATATTTGTCGATTTAATCTCATATTATTAAATAATATAAATACATAATGAATTATTTTTAAAAATTTTATTTTATACCTTATACCTGTTGTATTTAATTTGTTTTATATTTCTTATTTTTTATTATTTTTTTTACACCTTTAATTTATAAATTTAAAGTTGTAGAACCAATAACTTTAAATCTTCACATCCCAAGATAATATTAGATATTTTTTATTTTTAAATTATAATTTATACTATTATAATTAGTTATATAATTTGTTTCATACCATTTATTTTTTCATTTTTTATTTTACATTTTTATCGTATTAAAATAAATAATCGTATATGAACTAAAACTATTATAAAATACATTTCTTCAAAAAAAAAATCCATATTTGATGGATGATTTTTCTAGGCTTCAACATTTGTATTTCTCATTTAGTTATCAAAGTATCATTTTACTTGCAAACAACGTCATAATGTAAAAAGTAGAACATTTTATAAATAAATAATTAATTTTTAATTTACATGAAAGTTCTATATTTAGCTGCATTGCAGCGGGTACAAAACTAGTTAAATGTAAAAACATGTTAAAAAAACTGCACTACGAAAGTTCTAAACCGCGCTTTGTGGTGTGGTATAGACGGTTTGTACGGTTTAGATGAACACCGCTACCCACGCATATCCAACATATGTTTATGCATAACATATTTTCCAAAAGTATTAACGTATGGCATGCACAAAATCTTTAAAACATGTCAATGCATAGTATGCACATGCCACTGCAAAATATTGTACACATACGTATACGTGTATCTTAGTTTTAGAGTCACGATAAACTCACATCAATCACGTAGGCTAAATTATTTAGCTTGCAACTTTGCCTACATAATAATATGTCCTACGAGTATTTGTACAGAATACTGAACACTGATAAAAAAATTTATGTTGATCTACGAAAACATCGCAACCAAACGGTTGATCCACGTGACTTTTACGCATCTTCATGGTCACTTCTAATCCCATCCAATTGAATGTGACTTTTGGCAAACTAATTTGCCCCCACTTGGATCTACTCGATTTCTAGTGTGAGTTCTAGGTTGTACGCCATACATTTTGGACAAATTCGTCTATGCGACTTCCAAGTTGTAAACAATTTCGCTCGTGCTTCATGCTCGTGATCGAGGCACAACTTCGAGTTCATTTGCACTATATCGACATTTTCAGTACTTTCTAACACTTCTATTTGATTTTTTTGCCAACACTACAACATCTATAACACATATAACTATAATTTGGCACACTTAATGTCATTAAATCTTAACAACATGATATAATTCGAGTTTTAGGGGCCGTTTAATAAACACTTACTTGGTAAGTGCTTGCTGGATAAATTTTCTCATCAGATGAAACATGAGAAGGGCCAAAGAATCTTATCGGGTAAGAGCGATGAGAAAGATGGAGAGTCTTACCCGGTAAGTAGGGATGACGATTCTTACCTAGGTAAGCGCTTACCTAGTAAATTGTTGCATTCGATATGTTTTGATGTACTAAAATCTTACACATCAAAATAAATCATAATGTTGACTCCTATCGGTAAGTGTTTATCGGGTAAACAATTGGGTAAACGGCTCCTTAGTCACTAATCATGTCCCAACAACGTAGTTGACTTTTTTTATCAGATCGATGGCTTTAACGCCTCTTTACTGAATAATCAAAATTTTGTTAAATACTAAACATAATTAATTATAATTTTAAACAATAAACAAACATCTAAACACCATTTTTAACATCATATATTTCATTATAATTTAATTTAAAAATAATATAATTATTCTTTAAATTAAATGAGCGCCCCCCTTACCATCTGCTTATTTTTATTCTGAGATTTGACCTTCTTGCTAACATGCGCTGTAACACATAGGCGTTCGTATGCCCAGTTCGCACGCCGCCGGATTACAACAAAGGACAAGCTGCGCATGTTTTGTACATGTCTCTCGCCAGCGCATTTTATCACTTGGCCCTGCAATATTCATTTTCTTTAAAAAGAAAATGTTTATTTTTTTTAATTTAAATAGAAAATAAGAGTAAACTTTACTTTTGGTCTCTGACGTTTATCAATTTCAACAAATATCGTCTCTAATATTTGAAAGTTACTAATTGGTTCATCATTTTTAGAGGTGTAACTATGTAAAGTAGTCGAGTCGAGTAGTAGGTTATTCGAGCCGAGTTTGAGAAAAGAATACTAGACTCTAGCTCGACTTGAACTCGAATAAGTTTTTCAATATAAGGGGCATGCTATTTATTTAAAACATTTTTCTAGTGAGTAAGGTGTTGTTTATCAAATGCTTACTCGGGTAAGTGCTTACCAAGTCACTTATTTTGCTGCATGAATATAGCAATGACTAAGATTCTTACCCTGAAAGACCGAATGCAAGAATTAAGAGTTTTATCTGGTAAGTGAGGACGATGACTCTTACCATGGTTAGCACTTACCGGGGATAAATTGTTGCATACAATGCGTTTTATTGAATAGAATGTTGTTCGGTAAGTCAAACGATAATGTTGAATTTTACTAGTAAGTGTTTATCGGGTAAGTGTTTAGGTAAACGGCTCCTAAAATACCTCTTATTTAACCAGGTGACAATCGACTTAATAGAAAAATGTTTAAAATGACTAAAATATTCCTCATTCAGTTGGACTTAACGAATAAAGTTAACAATCGTTAAGAAAAGAGATTAAAACTATTATGAAATGAATGACAAACATACAAGACAAAATCTGAGTTTTTAAAGTTTAGAGATGATATAAGTTAAAATTGACAAACTTGAAGGACCAAAAAGTAAAATTTACTAAAAAAATAAACCCAAAAAACTGTTCGGTCCATGCTACTTCTCAATTACGGACCCCCTCCCTACTATTGTTTCTCTCTCTACTCTCTCTCTCTAAAACTCTCGATTTCGATTTGCAGACAGATGATCTAGCCAACGCCTCTTGTTCAAATTCATCACTAACCCACGTTGTTTCTTCACAAATCACTCCTACACATCTCTTCAATCTCCCAATCTCATGCTCCCATCTCCGCAGATCCAAGGTATATCGCTTTTTTACAGCCATAATCATGTCTCTTTCTGTGTTTATATCGTGTTTTTTGCATATATCTTAGTGCCTTCCAGTTACTTCAATTGCTTATGATTTCATTTGTTCTCTTAAATGTAGGTAAATTGCCTATTTACGTAAGCTCCATGTGTATTGCCCAAAGGTTGTTGTTGTTGTTGATAACATGCATCTCGTCTTAAATACTACGTGATTTTTYGCGTGTGTTTATGAAGAAGGACGCCAGGTATTTGATGTTGAATTGGTAGGTGTTTTCTGTTGAAGATGTCGAGTAATCAGGTGGTGAAAGTACGAAGAGATGCGTTATCGGCATGCATGACATGCCCTATCTGCAAAAAGCTCTTCCGAGATGCCACCACCATCTCTGAATGTCTTCATACGTGTGAGTACTTCTCTATATATGCACGTTTTCTACTTCGCGCTATCAGGACTCTTCGTGTTCTATCGGGGCTTTGACTATTGGTAATCGTCGTGACACTTTTAGAGTGAGAAATTTTAGGGGTTTTACCTTCTGCGTTTAGAATGTATGAGCTCTTAATTGGGGCCTTTTTTCATTCTTATCTTGATATAACTTCTTCAATTGTTATTTGTGTAATCATCCATGATTCTCAATGTCATTAGACTTGGTTAGAGACTGAACGAAGTAAAGATTGTTAACCGATTGATGTGAGATTTCCTGCTCTCTTGGTCTTATTGATCACAAATTCACAATTCTTTTTTCTGTATGTTGTTGGGGAATGACGATTTGTGTTTGCTAGAAGAAGATATCAACATAGTGTTTTGTGAATTCCCCTAATTTTGGAGTAAACCCTTGTTAGTACTTAGTATTACCTTTGCCCAAAATTTATTGTTGGTTAATGTTATATTATTATATAGCTTGCAGATGATTTTGCATCTTCTAATTGGCTTCTAGGGTTTGCATTATGCAAGGTAATTTGATTAAAGATAAAAGATGATGTGATTTTCATTGCCAAAAAACAGAGTTGAGTCCATGAGGCTTCTGTGCTACCTGGGTGTGAGAGCATTCAATCATAGGTAAAGAGTTAAAAATGGATGCCTAGGTCACAAGGAAGTTACTTTAATGTACTTGCTTTAATGTTTGTATCATACGTGTTTACCATTTTCATTGGATTTCTATTTCTGTTCCAACTCTACAAAATGGGTAATTGTTATTTCACTTTTTGCCTCTTGGATGTTGTTCAGTCTGCAGGAAATGTATTCGTAAGAAGCTCTCTGATGAAGAACTTGAATGTTGTCCAATATGCAATATTGATCTAGGATGTGTGCCTTTGGAGAAGTTGAGGTCATCTCTCTCTCCCTCTCTTTCTCTCTCTCTCTCTCTTGTTATGGCGTGCAATGTTGCACATCAAATTGCTGTGAATGTAGGACAATGCACAAGTGCATTAAATATCTAAAATCAAGTAGTTGAGATAAAGTAGAGTTATGCTGTTAATTACATAATCTGCAGATCTATTTTATGTTTACATGGTTATCCTTGTTATAAATCCACCATTGGAAGGATTATTTAACTACTTATTACTAGCATAACCCTTGTATTTCATGATGTATGTTTCTTCTTTTTTCTCTTTTATTGGTCAACTGTCAGGATTCTGTTTGCCATCATTAAGCTTCCTCAATGGGTATTATTCATTGACAGTGGCTTCTTAGCTTTCATTAGAGTTATTCTATTGCATTCTAATGAGTAGTTATCTCGTGAAGAAATCTTCATGGACAGTAGTATAAGATATATAACTGTCTATGCTCTAATACTTCATCAACCCTATAAAAGTTGAAGCAATCAACACAATGAAGTCAGTGTACCGACATTTTATGGAAAGAAAGTGTAGCAGATTGTAGAAATGGCTCACCAAATTACACAATCTTAGTTGGCAGCATGTGCAATTTCATTAAGATCATCAATGGGATCATACCGAAGTATATGGTATCTACCCATAATCACCTCAATTCTAATGATTCTTTATATTCTTCGTGATCTGAGCTTTAGATGTGAATCTATAATCAAGGGGTTGTTTGGTTGGTTTCCCATTAAGTCCTGAATGGATAAAACTGTCTGTGTGGATCAATCTTTCTGTATAGATTGAGAATGTTTTTGTTTGGGAGGGTTTTTTCATAGATGGAAGGAGCGTGTTTCTTAATTGAGAGGGGCAAGTTCGGAAAAAAACTTGGCTTTCTGCATAAAGCTCCCCCCAGAAGCTTACTAAATAAGCCACTTTCTATATCATTAAGCCACTACCAAACAGCCATGTATAACTGACCGAATAAGCTATATGTCCCATTAAGCTCATTAAGCTGCTAACAAACAGGCCCTAAGTATAGTTTATGTGGTGGGTCTACTTTAGCTGTTAAATGCATTTCTAAAAGTGTCGTATTCTTGTATTTGAGCAAAGTTAATTCTAAAGGTACAGTATACTTGTGTAGTTGCGACAGTCATAAAGGGAAATAAAAGCAAAACCAATAGGAAAACAGAATCTGCACATAGATGGCGTAAACAGCTATTGTTTTGTGTTTGAATTGTGTCCTTTGTATCTAACATCTGTACCCACATCATCACTCAGTCTTTGGCTTTGTACTCGGTGCCTTTTGTAATTAGTGGTATAGTTCTTGTCTTTACATGGTAGAAAGACCAAGGGCCTGTTTGTTAGCAGCTTAATGGACTCACAGCTTATTCGGTGAGCTATACGTAACTGTTTGGTAGTGGCTTAATGATATAGAATGTGGCTTATTCAGTAAGCTTCTGGGAGGGAGAGTATTTCACAGAGAACCGACAAGGAATTCCATTAATCACTGACCTTATGCAGAAAGCTAAGCTTTTTCCAAACCTTCCCCTCTCAATTGAAATACACGCTCCTTCCATCTACGAAAAACATTCCCAAACAAAAAGCTTTCCAATTTATATAGACATATTAATCCACACAAACAACTTTACCCACACAGGACTTAATGAAAAACCAACCAAACAGCCCTTCATGTACAAAGTGAAATGTTATGGATGCATTCACGGATGAAGAATTGCCTACTTTTATCTAGTTTCTCAAAACTTAGCATATTTGTCTCTCTCTTTATAGTTCTACTACTATTGCTAACTCATTATCTAGCTTTTCTTTTTTAACATACCTGTTTTTCTTCCTTTCACACACGTTTCATTACCCGGGGTTGTCATGGAAACAACCGCTCTATGCTTTAGGGTAGAGGTCAGGCTTGCGTATATCTTACCCTGGTTTGGTTTTTGGTGGTTCACTGATGAAGTTCTCCATATTATTCGTTAAACAGGCCGGATCATAACTTGCAAGATGTCAGAGCCAAAATTTTCCCATACAAACGGAGAAGGGTGAAGGCCCCTGAAGTTGTGCCTTCGGTTACATTACCATTACGACGAAAAGAGAGATCACTCTCGTCACTGGTAGTCAGCACTCCCAGAGTGTCGACACAAACCACAATGACTGGGAAAAGGTCAAAAGTTACTTCAAGGAAGAAATCACGTGGTTCCAGTTTCTCCGTTGAGAAATCTGTCAAGAAAGAGGAAGACTCCATGGAAGATTACGAAGAGAGTTCCAGTTCACGTGAGACTTCAAACAAGATCAATCAGAACTCAAAGCAGGTAAAAGAATACCAACAATCCTGTCATCATTTTATTAACTTAGGTCCCATTTGGTTTGCGGGATTTGGAATTGAATTCCATTCCAATCCTGTGTTTGGTTTGAAGAAATGCTCGGATTTGAAGTCCCTGGATTTCATTGAAATCCCACAAACATGGGATTTAGAAATCCCATGGGGATAGTCTGTATTTTGCGGGATTTCGTAGAATTTGTTCATAATAATGTTTTAAAATATGTTAAAAACACTTCTTTTGCAATAATCAATTAATAAAAAAGTAAGTTGATAATTTTTATAAATTGTTGTTATAAATTATTTATAAAGAATGGAATTCAATTCCATTTCAAATCCTACAAACCAAAAACATTAAAGATTCCAAATCCTTCCATGAAATCCGAATCCCTCAAAAACATCCCATCAAACCAAACAGGCCCTTATTATATCCTATGAATATCCTTAACACGGGATAACTATGAATATGCAGAATTCTTCCACTGCTGAGCCATCTAGTCACCCTCCGTCTGATGAAGAAAAAGATGGTGTTGAACCATGGGAAGGGAAAGTTGACTGGAAGCCTTTGAACGATCTTGTGGAAGCAGCAAATAGGAGTAAATCTTCAAAAGCTACTTCTCAGGGGTCTAATGTCAAATCAGAACCATCATATACTGTAAAAAGTGAAGGACTTGTGCGCAGACCTAAAGGGAAAGACCCGTTACAAAGATCCAAAGTACAAGATGATAAAGACAGTCTTGAGGCTGATGCTACTGAAACAGGAAAACCCAAAAAGTTAAGAAGGAATCGCAAAAAGAAAGCAGGTGCTTTAGGAGATTCGAGCGTTACTGCTGCCCAACTTATGCTTGATGCTGCTGCCAACAATGTTGGCCGGGAGAAAAGAACATATCCTATTTGGTTCCAGTTGGTGCCATTTGAAGAACAGTGAGGACCCTATTTCAATGATAAAACAGTAGTTTTGGTCTTAGACTCTTACGTTGTGTTCTCGAGTCCTTTTTTTGCAGAGGAAAAGAAGGGGAAGGGAAGGAAAGTAGGAGGGAAAGAAAAAAAATCTTGTGTCCTCGAGTTTTTTAAGGAGGGAAAGGTAAGGAAAATAATAATGATTTTCCTCCCAAATGTGGGAGGAAAGGGAGGAAAGAAAATGAAAGAATTTTATAAATAAAAATTATTTATAAAATTACATATACACCCATCAATCACATTCAACTACAAAATAAACAAAGGTATATTTGTAAAAATGACATATACTCTTTCCTTTCTCTCCAACTCAAGAACATGAAAATTTATTTAATTTTCTTTCGTTTCTTTCCTTTCCCTTCACTCTCAAGAACACAAATAAAAAAATTCTTTTCTTTTCTTTTCTTTTCTTTTCTTTCCTTCTAGATTCGAGAACACAGCGTTTAGGACCTTTTTGACATATATTTTAGCGACTTAATAAATGTTTCTATCGAATCTTTACATTGTTGATTTCCTTCCGATATTTTCAGGGAAGGGGAGCCCTTGCGCCAAATAGAAGGACGTTATGTTAAACTAAAGTGAGTTCTCTCTAGCCTCGTACCTTTTCTAGTCCAAAGTTCCCTGCATTATGATATATATATATATATATATATATATATATATATAGGTGAAGGATCGTGTGAGAAGGAGAGTTAAAGTGAGGACCGTAAGAAGGGATCTGGACCCTTGATCACCTTTAATCTCAAACCCACCCATGAATCGCGCCTGATACGGGGATTGATATGGTGCATCTCATCCTAATGTGCATCTAAGGGTGAAGATCCCTTTTTACGCTTCTCACCTTAACTCTCCTTCTCACCTGTGAATCATTGAAAAATCCATTTGATGATGCATATGTAAACCATATGCATAATTTGTAATGTCGGTTCACATATGCATCTTGAAATAGATTTTTTCCGGATTTTTTCAACAAATTCACATATGAACCTTCATTTACCTTCCTTTCTTCCCTTCTCACGATATTTAACCTTCTTATTTGAACCACACCCTATATATGCATATACACATATATGCTCGCACACATTATATCTGTGTTTCTGTGTGTTCTGTCATTTGGCATTGACTTGATGAGTATGCAAAACTGTGAGTAAATTATTTATCTGATATTGGTTTGTCTATTTTCAAGGTTTTGGATATTGGCTAGTGATATTAAGGAAAATGTTTGTCCTGCTGTTTTTTAAGTTTTACTATATCTATAACATTATGTTGTGAAAGTGCCACCACTAACTGAAATGCCAGCATTGAGAGAAAACGGAAGCACAATGAAAACCTGTCAAGATTAAATGATTTTAGTAATAACCTTGTGTGTCTTGGCCAACTTGCGCGCACCTTGACCAATACCATGGGACCCTGAGGTTACCAGTCGGGCAAAACCTCTAGTGGCCCTGAGGGGACTCATAGGGGAGATAAAATGATTTGGATACACCAGAAAATTTGGTTCTTGATTTAAACTTGGTATTTCTTCCAAAGCAGGAACCTCATCTTCTATGCAAACTTTTACATGACATATGCTTTATGTCGTACACATTAGGATTTAATGGTTTAGAGTCTGATTCCATCTGATTATCGTTTCCCTACCCGTTCATGTAGTCTCAAGTCTGCTTGGTATTATTTAGTTCATATCGTTTTCGTATCTAGTTGAGTTGTTTTAAGAAGTAGACGATTGCAAGTATAAATCTTTTTAGTTTTAGGGAAAGTTGAGAAAAATAGTTTCTTAAGTACAGGTGGCAGTCTAGCATATGATAATTCGTAAAATCATACTAATTATTTGCTACCTTATTGTATACGATAACATTCTATATCTTTTGCTGGTGAAAACTCTAGAGATTGGTTTTGATGTCATTTCATGATGTTGTTTAAAACTATGTATTATCTTCCCATGGGAAGAATCTCCTGTACTACACAAGCCCACCCCCTCCCTAATGTCCTCCGAGCGTTTAGATGTTGTTTCCTTCTGTTATGAACGTACCCAGATCTTCTTTCTCGGTAAATATTCTAAAATCTCACTTTTTACGAACCTTTGGGTTGTGGGCTGTTGGGATTTTACCAAAGGATGTCACTTTTTATTTTCAGAAGGATGTCACTTTTATGTATGAATGCTTAAAAACCTGTCAAAAGGTCATGGATTCAAAAAGCACTTCTCAGGTCTGAGGAGGCCATTTAGCAAAATTACCCACTGAAAATATTTATCTCCTTTCCCATGCCTATCATCTTTGCATCTTTAATTGTCTTCACTCATGATCAATGCAGAGGCATGGTAGTTGTTTCAAGTTGCATCCCGAATGGGACCTGAAGCATGCCGACTTAATTGAATATAGCCCAAACATGTGTTTGACTTGGAACACATACACATACTGTAAAGGGTACCCTTGTAAGACCGCTAATATGCTATCTCTGAGATATCTTCGAAACTGGTACCAGAGCAAATGAATCTTGGTACAAGAGCAACCCCACCTTCTTGAAGCCTCTTAACCACCACAAAAAGGGAGGAGATGTGTTGTTTGGCCTTACTTGCTTACATTCTTGCACAAGCCAGGGGTCTTCACAGAAACAGCCGATCTACCCTGTTATAAGGAAGAGGCCAGGCCTGCTTACAGACGTACATCTCACCCCCAGACCCCACTTTCGAGTGAGACTTATTGGGTCTGTTTGGTTTGGTTAGGAAGGGAGAAGGGTGCTATATTGCCGAGCACCTCTTACCCCAGCACTCACACGGTCACATCCGTGACCCTCTTGCTTAAGTTTGATAACGACATCGTCATTGTGATATAAAGGAATAAATCGACAAATTCCAATTGCATTTCTTGTGCTATTAGGGTGCGTTTGGTACATTTGGACATAATAGAGCAGAACAAGGATTATTGTTGCATGTTTGGCATGACTTCTATTTGGAACAAACTAGAACAAAGTAGAAGAGGCGTTTTCTACCCCCACCCCATGGAACAAGGTGGAACAAGCCTATATTTTACCAATATACTCTCAAGATAAAATCTAATTCCCTTCTAAAACATTAAATATGCTTACCTCCTTACATTTTATCCATTCTTTAAATTTTATTTATTGTATTTCATTCTCTTTAAAACACTAAACAACTCATTAGATTGATTATTTGGTAAAAAAACACTAAGCAACTCATTAAGGGGTAAATTAGTCATTTTACCAGTCTTGTTATGTTCAGTCCTTTCTTGTTCTGTCCTATCCGGGTACCAAACGCACCCTTAAAGATCTACTTCTGATTCCTTAACAGGTTTTACAATCTTTCCAATCTCTGTTATGGTCTTATCAACACAGGTGGTTGATATCTAACCTTAACAAACTATGATATACACATAGGATATGAAATCTGGAAGTTGGTTACGAAATTTAAATTGATTTAGGGGTCATTTACCAATACACACTGGGTAAGTGCTTACTGAGTAAGAGTCACCATCATCACTTACCTTACCAGGTAAGATTCTCAGTCATTAAAATAGCATAGCATAAGCATCTCTTACCCGGTAAGGACTAACCAGATAAGACACCACTCTCACTTACCAGGTAAAATAAATGGCACAATAAGATTGTTGGTAAGGACCATCACCTCTGACCGGGTAAGCGTCCCTTACCGTAAGTGTTTAGTAAAAAATGCATTGTAAAAAATTGATGGGGTAATTCTATTTTACCACAAAGCATGTGTTGATATGCTTTCTCATAAATCCAATTACTTCATAAATCATCTTGACTCTTTTATTTCCACTTATGATGCTCATTTGGATTCGTTAAATTTCCAGTCTTTTTATGTCTTTTTCACGATTATTTGTTTCCATAAGCGTTTGGGATAGAGAACAGGTTTGTGTACATCCCACCCTACCCTACGTCCTAGTGGGATATGGTTTGTTAGTTTGATTTGTTTTATTTCCACGACTGTTACAAAGGTTCAATGTTTTCCAAATCATCTCGTCATTTTTACCCTTCTTTTTTCCTCTTTATTTTTTTTTACCATTTTTTCAGTTCTTGAAGGCTTATAAACATTGATAACCCTGCATATATATATATATATATATATATATATATATATATATTATATATCGACAGTTTGACATAAATGTTTGAAATCTGTTCTTATTGTCTGGTTTGGCATGGTTACAGTGATGGAAATGTACCCGTTTCGATTATCCAAAAGCTGGTGATGAACAAACTCGAACTTCCAAGTGAACATGAGGTTAGTTGATTGAAACGGTTTAATTTTGTGGGTTTTATTTCCATGATACATGAAAGTAAAGATGTGATTATAGGTCCCGTTTATTTGATTTGAGCAACAATGAGATGGGTCATGTAGGTATATAAACTTAAATGAGATTTTAATTAAATCCATTGGCTTTATACTCATCAGAAGGTAATGGATTTAATTAAAATCTCATTTAAGGCTATATATCTAAATATCTCGTCATGGGACCCACAAAATGATAGAAAAATATATAGACAAATGGCTTTGCGCTCTTTTTTTATAAAAAAGAGAGCCATATGGCAATAGGGACGGTGATTTGCCCCGACCCGGTTATACGGTCTATCAATTTGGTAGTGGCTTAACAATATAGAAAGTGGCTTATCAATGAGCTTATAGGGAGATGCTTTATACAGAAAGCCAAGTTTTTTTCCAAACATGTCTCGCAATTAAAAATCCACTCCTTCCATCTACGAAAAGCTCTCCCAAACAAAACCTTCCTAATCTATATAGACAAATTAATCCACATAGACAACTTTATCTATACATAATTTAATGGAAAACCAACCAAACAACCGCTTAATTTAATTAGAGCATTTTTTTACCAGAAGAATACGTCATCTTTACTGTTATACTTCCGAAAACCGTTCTTGTTATGAAAACAAACAGTGGTTGTTCACATTYCTTTTCCGGGTGTAGGTCGAGCTCAGATGCATGGGTCAGCCGGTGGTGCCCACGTTGCGTCTACGTAATCTTATGGAGCTGTGGCTACAAGCTCACCCAGACATAATAACAGCAACAATCGGCTCATCCGCGCAGGAATTTGTGATGGAAATATCGTATGCCAAGAAAGCTCCGGCTGCGACTCCGACTCCGACTGCTGCTCCGGCACCACAAACTCCGTGAATGCTGATGACGTTATGCAAAGGGAAAGAGAACCTGAAATCTGGCCAATGTGCCCATTATAGTTGTCATCATATAGTTTATGAGATGATAAGTTCTTACTTGTTAAAACTGAGTTTTTTGTGTGACTTTTTGTTGTTCGAATACTCTTTGGAAACGTTGTTCAAGTTGGTGAATTTTGGCATTTTTGTTTTATAAGTACTACGGACACACTTGGTTTTAGGATGGTATATCGGTATAAGTTTTGCCTCTAATTTTTGGTGGAGTTATATGAAAAGGAGAAATCCCTACATATTTATATTTGGGTAAAAATTGAATACCGACGATCCAAACTGGTTTCATACGGAACCTGTCTTCAAATACACTAATCTGAGGGGATGTTTCATTTTTGTTGATATGGTATCCGCTTAATGTTTCAACAAATAATACTGAGTTGGATACCACATCATTCGCCATATCAGCATGGTAACCGGTTAATGCTTTAACCGGTTACCCAGGTACTTAAATGTTTAAAACTTTACACCTTCGATACCAAAATAGAAGTTTTGAAAGTACGTTACCCAAAATAGGAATCAAGTTAAAGTACGTTATTTTTTTATGCAATTTGCCCTTTCTTGAATCAAACAAAATTAAAATTATTATATATTAACCAGGGATCTTATAACAATTAAAACATAAATATTTGAACAAAAAATTGATTAACGGTAATTCCAACCGACCTCACATGAAACCTGCTTTTAAGGACATCAATGTGAATAGATGTTTTTTGGTTCACTTAACAGTTGAAGTTAATGAGAGGTTTGCGATCGAACCCAATATCTGTCTTGTATTTTAGCAAAATCACTTCATTCATTTGTCAACTAAGTTGCACGTCAAAAATGTCACATCTAAACCAACCAATAGTACATGGGGTCAATACTTAGGGGGTGTTTGGGAAAGCTTATTTAAGGTGCTTATCAACTTATTTCAGTCCACAACCGCCGATAAGTTATTTTGAGTGTTTGGATGTGAAAAAAAAAAAACTGCTTATACCGGTGCCAAACCGGTAATAAGTTGTTTTTGATAAGTTACTCCCTCTTGACTTATTTGACATATTACCCTTTTAACCCTCTCATCGCATC